CTTTTAATGGAAATATTATGATACCTCAAATAATCTTGTTCATCATCGTCCATAGCGCCCTTCTTACCATGGGACAACTTCCCTCTTGCACCTAAACTTTCTCGAATACTTTCATTCAGCGTCTCTTCCAAGTTCTCAAGCTCTTCAATTATCTACGAAAATGTGAGTGTTAGAATTGCCACGTAATGAAATGCTGAAGATATTAAAATAGTAACTGACAAATCCTAGTAGACTGTCACGCTTCAAATGCATTCTCCAAATCATGGCAGTTTCCATAAATGTATCTTGACACAGGTAGATACAAGTCATTTCTTAAACCTGTTGATTGATTATATAAAGTCCCATTCTCAAATGAGTTGACTGAATAACCTCCATTCTCAATTATCCACCTAGAAAAGAGGTGCAGGGCGAAAACACAAGAGGTTCAGGAAGAAGCAAGAAGCATCACAATTTAATAGGTTTCTTTCATGTTAATCATTGTAATGTGATGTTACCTGTATTTCCCAGTAATGAAGTGCAAGGTATGCACACACAATTCTGAGGGTTCAGCAAGAAAGGATCAAGAAAATGATGGGATCATCATATAAGATATCCTAATCTATAGGATATTTACAATAACAATCATATACCTGTGACATCCGTTGCTCATTTCTAGCAATCTGAGTTTGTTGCCCTTGTGTCAAGCCACCTTAAGCAATATCCTTCGCCCGTATTGCGTAAAATCTCTTTCTTCATGTGAGCAATCTACAGATGATGAGAAATTCAGTACTCTACACATTATGAAATGCTTACACATAATGGAGTATGACCCAAAAGAACTAAAATTGAAAATTCCTGCTACATCTATCAGAGAACTAATAAATAAACTTGTACCTGTAAGTTGCGACAAGTTAAGCCGACAACAACGATAGATATTATATTCCCATATCTATATTACTCTGCACCATATTTTTATCCAATAAAATGAAACAAATATGGTAAATAAAGATATAGGAAGAGAGTACTTGAATCGAATCGGGGCAGCGTGGATAGATGAAGGGCCCGACGACCCACCACGGCATCACGACCACCACATCCAATCCATTTTTCTCCCCAAATTCCAGAGGCAATATCTCGGTCGCCGTATTCGTCACCACATAAGCCTCTGCAAACATCCGTAGCGACCTCAACAACTCCCCGTCGGCCAAACGGCAGCGGGGGCGCCAGATCGAGCTGAAGAATTAACGGCACCGCACGCCTGCAGAATGGCCCGGGTCTCGATGGTGACGCGCCGGGCCTTCACCTACTCGCTCTCTCTCTCCTCGAAGTCCACCGTCGCGGCCACATGGAAGACGCCGTCGCAGCCGTCGACAGCTGCGGCAAAGGTGTCGGAACAATATCAGATTGTTATTTCATAATCTTTGTTTAATTAATGAAGAAGAATATGCAACACTCGATAACATTAAATGGCTATGTGAACTGTGACCATCACATAAACATCATCATGAACGGAATCAATTCAGGATATATAACAACAAGAAAAATTTTAAAGCAGCATCCAGTTAATGCAAAAGTAAAGATACAATAGAAGAACTATCCATCACAGACCACAGATCGTTAATGAACCATAACATGTGATCGAACATAAAATATTTTATATACACACACACACCTACCTTCTTTAGCCTGGCTCCAAGGTAGAAAGCCACGGAGAGCAACCGACAGTCACTGTGCACAACAATTAAGTCTCGTCCAAGCTCCAGTTTCTTCACTGGGTAGACTGAATCATGTTTTAGTATAATATATCAGACGGGAATACAAATAATTGGAATCGGGGAACAACAAACTAAGCAGCTGCAACATAGTTATTGTGCGAAATTGTCAATAAATAAGGAATAAAAGCCAACAGAAAATGAAAATAAAAAGTACAGCCACACTCTAACCAATATTAACTTGCGAAACAAAGACGCCACCACAAAGAGCCCTTTTACAAAATTATTAGAAACACGCGAGGCGTACAAAATTACAACTATCGAAATAATTTTCTTAAAAAAAGCTCCACAGACAACGAAGAAGAGATGAAACATGAATAAGGACTCGGTATTCTTATTCTTCCAGATATAAAAACACTTGCTGAAAAGGCCCGTATTCAACGAAAACCAAAAAACATACTGAAAAATCCAACAATCCCCCCTCCCTCATCCGACATGCATCCTAATAATTCTCAAGCAAAAGTCAGATAAAGTCATCATCAGACACAGCATATATACCAATGTATATCACACGGCGTCGAGCGCACCATAGGTAAAACAAAATTTGAACCTTTTTCTGAATGGGCAAGTATTATTGAGCTGCCCTTCGGTAACATCCCACGTTAAACCTCCCACAAAGAGACGGTCATCTTGTTCCTTGTCCGCCATCTGACGCACTTCTTCTCAGAAGGAAAGCTCTAAATCAGAAGCAATAGAAAAACCATTAAACAACAATTACAGTTCCGAAAGAAATACGCATATTAATCAAACAAGGAACAGACTTGTTACACAAAGTTCTTGTCGCTTGTGTTGGAGGAGTTTTTCAATCCGATTTGTACCCTCAGCCCGGGAATTCATAATCCACCTAAAAATCCCGCTATCCACTCTTACCAGTGACTCGTCATGCTGCAATGGCCCTAACCAATCAGGGCACGGGGCTCAAGCTTCAGGAGACCCAGAAGCTACATCAGGCTTCGCCACTAACCGATTTGGTGGTCCACCGTTGAACGACGGCGACTAGACGGTGAGGCTTCGTAGCATCTCAGAGGCTGTGACCGGTAATTGGAACTCTGATCTATGGCGAACGACTACCCGTGAAGACTCTGCCCGAAGTCCAGCATAGTGGCTATGCCCGTGATGAACGACTGACATAATCTAGAGAATGCGTCTAACTCTAGTTGTTCAAGTAGAGAATGTATCAACCGAGGCCAGGGAATCTGCTGCAGATGCCAAAGCACAGTCGTCAATCCCCAGCCCAAATCTTAGAAGTAAAAGGATTGGTTCAGCGAGATAGATAGCCTAACCCGTAAGCATGTTATTAAAGGAAAGTTCTTATCTTAGCCTTTATACAATATATCAAATATCCTGATTGAATACTCTCGATGGAGGATATGATTCTTCAGGTGGAGTCCAATTATTTCCTTTATTGATTCATACAGAAAGTGTTCAATTTTCCTAATAGTACTGTTATAAAGTTCAAATTAGTGTTAACTGGAATATATATAATTTTCTGTTAAAATAATTTTCTGGTAGAAAGCAAAATAAAATAATGAAAGAGTACCAGAGTCAGAAGAAGCAACAACAGTTTATCCAATCCGCAAAGCTGGTAAGCTAACAGGGCCATCTTCAAACCTCATTATATACTTCTTATTCTTCCAGCCGGGCCTCGTCACCGGCATCACTCTTAGCTCCTACCCCAATGACATTTCCAAAGAACCTTATTCAGTTGAAGCAGCTCAAGGATGACCTCATCAACGTACCGCCAAAGCTGCCCAATACTCAGCCGTGGGTGGGGCTGAGCGAGTAGTCGTGTACCTAAGGCCGCCAGCCGACTGCATGCACGACATGATAGTGCCGGAACTTCTGTGGAGGGCCTTGCTGTAGCCCAAAGTACATGAGGGTCCCAAGGTGGCCTTCATGTTTCTTCTTAATCTCCTAAAACAAAATAAAGGGTTCTTATATTAGGTTGTTACATATAAGGAAAACTTTTTATATCCATTTGTCCATTTAAACACTATCTAAAGCCTACTGCCTAGTCCATAGCTTACCATGACTGATTTTTTGGCGTGATAAAATTTCTAGCACTCCGAAGCTAAAAAATTGCTGCAGCGCAGAATAGTCAAAACTCACTGCTCAGAGAAAGAAAGAGTTTCAAAAGTTTACCAACAAATCTGGCAGTGACAATAGCCTTTTCTTTAAACTCTGTTACTAGTTAAATCGGGAAACACAACATCAATCAATAGTTACCACTGCAAGTAAGTACATATTAATTACCTATTTTTCAGAACTTATATCTAGGTAGTCTCTCGATGTCTTCCTTAGAAGCACCTTCTTCTATTCCAATGCAAATCAGTAAAGATGTTAAAAATTTGAAAAAATAAAATACTGCAAATAACAATGTCATTCCCAAGTTCTTCAACAAATCAAACTTAGACCATGAAATGTTTAAATAATTTCCATTACAACCGAAGGTCAAAGAATCACCACTTTCAAAACAACTTAAGTTTATCATTCAGTTCAAAGAACTTCAGTTTGTCACAATTTAGCACATAAATCTACAAATTTGCTCCAAAAAAGCATATCACCAGAAAGGGCAAAATCCAGTTACTCTAAAATTTTGAAAAACGTGGCCCTCCTCCAACATATCGATGTCCCCACAACAACAATTAAAAATTGTTTTACTACGAAAAGAATTACCTGAATGAGTAATCATTAGCGGCCGATCCTTCGCATCCTCTTCCTCGTAATCGTCAGTGTCGAAGGTTGTGAGGTTGGGAAATCCGGCCGTTTACAGCGGAGCTCCTTGACCACGGCGGCTAGTGATTCAGGGTTCACGCCCATTTCACAGAGATCCATGAGAATCGAAATTGTGTGGCGCTCGAGGCCGGTTTCGAGAAGGTTCGGTGTTGAACACCAAATTGAGTGAGACCCGTACATCATGCTTCCTCTGTGCGAGTTGGAGAGGCCAGAGAAAAATGAGAGGAGTGCGATTAGGGTTTCATTATTGGAGAGAAAAATGATGAAGTAACAAAAAAAAAAAAAATCAATAATTCAAGGCCTTAAAACATCTAGTGGCAGGTAAGTAAAATAAGTGCCCAACCAAGGTCATTTTGGTAAGAAAATGACAAGTGTCAACACCCCAAATAACCCATCATTGTTGGGTTATATGTATAGGAGAGACAATGGGAGTGAGAATATTTCCCACTAAATATTTTACATTGTACAAGAGATATATTTATTTTAAAATTTGACCTGCTATTCCCCCAGCCAATATACGAAATACTTGTTTTAAAAATTTTGCCTCCTCATAATATTATTGTTTTATATTTTCATATTGTTTTTTAGTCTAATTTTAAAAGTTCATGGTTTAAAACAAGTATATTTATGAATTTTTCTAAACAAGCATATTTAGAAATACTTACGAAACTTTTTTAAAAATTCATGGTTTAATTGAACTTTGGAAATGCTTATTTGTCCAACATTTGTATACCATTACATTAAAAAATAAAAATAAAAAGTTTTAAATAATAATTATATAATATTACATTGATTGATAAAACAGAGAGTCATCTATCAAACCATTATTTTAACTATCTCAAAGAAATAATATTATTGCAATATACACTTTTTAAAATAAAAAAATATCAATCCATTATTTTTTAAGTAAAATATAATTAACAATATAAAACTTGTAAAATTTGGAATAAGTATACTTTTCAAAAGACTTCCATTTAGTTAATTTAGCCACATTCTAGTTTTTTTTTTTTTAACATTGTTTAGAAAAATATATTTATTTAGAATTACAATTTACATATTTATTCTATCTTGAAATAAACAGTTAATATGTTGGCTCTACTACATAGGCATGGTCATTCAACAGTTAAATGTATCTTGACACAGGTAGATGCAAGTCATTTCTTAAACCTATTGATTGATTATATAAAGTCCCATTCTCAAATGAGTTGACTGAATAACCTCCATTCTCAATTATCCACCTAGAAAAGAGGTGCAAGGCGAAAACACAAGAGGTTCAGGAAGAAGCAAGAAGCATCACAATTTAATAGGTTTCTTTCATGTTAATCATTATAATGTGATGTTACCTGTATTTCCCAGTAATGAAGTGCAAGGTATACACACAATTCTGAGGGTTCAGCAAGAAAGGATCAAGAAAAATGATGGGATCATCATATGAGATATTCTAATCTATAGGATATTTACAATAACAATCATATACCTGTGACATCCGTTGCTCATTTCTAGCAATCTGAGTTTGTTGCCCTTGTGTCAAGCCACCTTGAGCAATATCCTTCGCCCGTATTGCGTCAATCTCTTTCTTCATGTGAGCAATCTACAGATGATGAGAAATTCAATACTCTACACATTATGAAATGCTTACACATAATGGAATATGACCCAAAAGAACTAAAATTGAAAATTCCTGCTACATCTATCAGCGAACTAATAAATAAACTTGTACCTGTAAGTTGCGACAAGTTAAGCCGACAAAAACGATAGATATTATATTCCCATATCTATTTTACTCTGCACCATATTTTTATCCAATAAAATGAAACAAATATGGTAAATAAAGATATAGGAAGAGAGTACTTGAATCGAATTGGGGCAGCGTGGACAGATGAAGGGCCCGACGACCCACCACGGCATCACGACCACCACATCCAATCCATTTTTCTCCCCAAATTCCAGAGGCAATATCTCGGTCGACGTATTCGTCACCACATAAGCCTCTGCAAACATCCGTAGCGACCTCAGCAAATCCCCGTCGGCCAAACGGCGGCGGGGGCGCGAGATCGAGCTGAAGAATTAACGGCGCCGTACGCCTGCAGAATGGCCCGGGTCCCGATGGTGACGCGCCGGGCCTTCACCTCCTCGCTCTCTCTCTCCTCGAAGTCCACCGCCGCGGCCACATGGAAGACGCCGTCGCAGCGGTCGACAGCTGCGACAGCTGAGTACCAGTGATAAACCTATAGAAGACAACAAAACAATACATAATTTAAACTCGAGTCACAAAAAGCAAGTTCAGAACGAGAATAAAGAAAAAAGGAGGCACAAAATAACAACAATGAACCAATTTATCACTTGGTGGAGTGCAAGCAGTTCTTGCTTTTCTGTTCTACGAGAGGTTGATAGAGATACCATAAGTGAGGAAAGGACAACTAGTAAGGCTTAAATTGCATTGCAGGGAAATTTCAGAATTAGATATTCAGAAGATAAAAATAAAAAATTACTTGTACCAGAAAGGGTCACGCTCGTGGTGGTTGAGAGAAATTGGTGATGGCGTGACTGAAACTGGAAGAGTTGTACGTGCGTTGGGTCGTTCATCTCAGCGGTGGATCGAACAGCCCGTTTCCTCCGCCAATCGGGCCTGGGCGCGGGATTTCTCACGAGATTCAGAACAGCGGCCAAGGTTGAAGATGGTGCAATCCTTCACAAGAGAAGAGCAGAGGATTTCTGAATCACGGGTATCGGGAAAAGACGGTCGCGCCAGCGGCTCGCCGGTGGTCTTCTGAGGAAAAGGGTCGGGCGCGGTTGTCGTCTAGGATTCCTCGCGACGTGTGCTCCGAGGAAGATAGAAGCTGCTCGCCTGTGGCTGGTATCCGACGGCGGTCGCGAACAGAGAAGAAGAAATAGAAATCAATTAAAATCAATAATTAAGCTCAAATAATCACCAAAAAGTATGGAAAACATGACAATTAACATACCAAGAATACGACTTATCAAATCACCCCACACTTAAACGATGCTTGTTCAAGCATCAAGTCAAATTCATCATCTCATCTCATAATCATCTCTATCATTCGTTACCAACCCA